GATGATGATGAGGGAGGAAGAGCGCGTTCGTGACACACTTCTCACTAAAAGGGGTGGCCCAGCTTGAAGCCACCCCCCTCCCCACTCCCTTGGAAAAGGGGGGGCGCTTCCGAAGCTACCTCCCCCTCCCTTCTGGGCATTTCGGAGCTGGGGGGGCATTAGCCAAAGGGCGGAGGGGAGTTTCCAAGCTGTCCCCCCCTTCTTTCCTGGAGGCCAAGGTCAGCCCGGGCTCCCCTTTCAAAGGGGTGGGGGGCTTTCGAAGCTCCCCCCCTTCTTTTTGTTAGAATTTTGTAGCTGGGGGGTCCCTGGCTAGAGGGGGGGGGGCTTGGAAGCTACCCCTCATTTTCTGGGCCCAGGGTAAGCTCGGGATCCCTTATCTAAAGGGGGGGGGGGCTTGCAAAGCTCCCCCCCTTCCCCCCCCTCCCCTCCTTCTGTTGGCTTTTCCAGATAGAGGGCCCTGGCTGAAGGGGGGCCTTCGAGGCTACTTTTCTTTTTTGGTTTTCGGCGACCGGATGGTTTTCGGCGCATTTGGGCCTCTTTGGTTTTCGGCGCCACTTTGGTTTTCGGCGCTCCTTTGGTTTTCGGCGCCCCTTTCGTTTTCGGCGCTCCTTTGGCTTTCGGCGGCGCCCCTTTTGGTTTTCTGCGCACCCTTTGGTTTTCGGCGCTCGTGGGTTTTCGGCGCTCTCTTGGGTTCCAGCGCCCCTTTGGTTTTCGGCGTCCTCTTGGTTTTCGGCGCAGTTGTGGTTTTCGGCGTCCCTTTAGTTTTCGGTGTTCTTTTTGGTTTTCGGCGCTATTTTGTTTTCGGCGCCCCTTTGGTTTTCGGCGCCCTTCGGCTTTTGGCGCGCCTTTGGTTTTTGGGCGTTCTTATGGTTTTCGACGCCCGTTTGGTTTTCGGCGCCCCTTTGGTTTTCGGCGCCCCTTTGGTTTTCGGCGCCCTTTCTGCTGTCGGCGCCCCGTCCGCCTTCGGAGCTTCTGCTGTTTTCGGCGCCCCTTTCGTTTTCGGCGCCCTTTCGGTCATCGGCACCCCTTTGGCTTTTCGGCGCCTTTTTGGTTTTCGGCGCGTCGTTGGCTTTCGGCACCACTTTGGTTTTCGGCGCTCCTTTTGCTTTTCGGCGCCCCTTGGGTGTTCGGCGCTCCCTTGGTCTTCGGCGCTCTCTTGGTTCTCGGCGCTTCTTTGGTTTTCTGTGTCCTCTTGGTTTTCGGCGCCTTTTTTGTTTCCGGCGCGTCTTTGGTTTTCGGCGCCCCTTTTTGTGTTCGGTGCTTTCTTGGTTTTTGTCCTCCTTTCGCTACTTCATGATCACCAGACACCCCCCATATCAGTTTATTCAAATTAATATTGGTGTCTGGGCTTGTCGCAGGCTGCGCAGACGCGTTGGCGCGCTCGGCGTCGACGCACATGCGTGCAATTGTCGAGAGCTCGTGTGACTAGCATGTCGGTGCGCTGTCACGGGCACGGCGGGGTAGTGCATTTCCCTCGCTCCAGCTTGATCGCGGAGGGAAATCATGACACATTTTTGTTTGGGGCGGCGCTCCCCACACCTGAAATTCGTATAGCCCCTGTCTGAAATTCAGATTGCCCTTGTCCGAAATTCAGATTCCCCCCCTGGGGACTCGGGCGAGGCGTTGTGCCTGAGACTTCTGCACAAAATTATTCAGATTGGCCCGGTCTGAAATTCAGATTGGCCCGGTCTGAAATTCAGATTAGCCCGGTCTGAATTTCAGATTGCCTTGGTCTGAATTTCAGATGTGGTGGTTCCGCGTGGAAGACTTGTTCGGTTCGGTTCCGCTGCCCTCGGGACGAACGTGGTCGACGTTTGCTCTCCTGCGTTGTTGCGACATGGCCCTCGAAGCCCCGATGTTCCCTTGGACGTGGCGCGCTTTGCGAATGCGACAAAAATTAGAAGCCAATTTTTTATGGTTGGGGGTGTCTGGTGATGACCGCGTAGTTCTGGTATTCTGTGCTTCCTTAGTTTTGCGGCGCCCCTTGGGTTTTCGGCGCACTTTCGGTTTTCGGCGCTTCTTTGGTTCTCGGCGCCCTTATTGCTTTCGGTGCCCCTTTTTGTTTCGGTGCTCCTTTGGTTTTCGGCGCTCTTTTGGTTTTCGGTGCCCTTTGAGTGTTCGGCACCCCTTTGGTTTTCGGCACCGTTTTGGTTCTCGGTGCCCTTTCGGTGTTCGGCGCCCCTTCGGTTTTCGGCACCGTTTTGGTTCTCGGTGCCCTTTCGTTGTTCGGCGACCCTTTAGTTTTCGGCGTCTTTTCATGTTCGGCGACCCTTTGGTTTTCGGCGCACTTTTCGGTTTCGGCGCTCTTTGGTTTTCGGCGCCGTCTTGGTTTTCCGCGCTGCTATGGTTTTCGGGAGCTCTTTTGGTTTTCGGCGCATCTTTGGTTTTCGGCGCCCTGCTGGTTCTCGGAGCCTTCTGTGGTTTTCGGCGCCTCTTTAGTTTTGGGCGTTCTTTTGGTTTTCGGCGCCCCTTTCGTTTTCAGCGCTTCTTTGGTTTTCGGCTCCCTGTTGGTTATCGGCGACCTTTTGGTTTTCGGCGCCCCCTTTGGTTTTCGTCGCTCCTTTGGTTTTCGTCGCTCCTGTGGTTTTCAGCACCCTTTTGTTTTTCGGCGCACTTTCGGTTTTCGGCACCCTTTCGCTTTTCGGCGTTCCTCTGGTTGTCGGCGCGCCTCTGGTTTTCGCACCCTTTAGGTTTTCGGTGGCCCTTTGGTTTTCGGCGCTATGTTTGTTTTCGGCGCCCTTTTGGTCTTCGGTTCGGCGCTCCTTCCTTTTTGGCTCAAGGGGGGGAGGGGGGGGTCAAAAGGGGGGGTCGTAGCTAAGCTCCTCCACCTTTTGGAGGGGGGTGTGTTTTTCGGAGCGCGAGAAGGGAGGGGATAGTTTCTGAGGGGCAGAAACAAAAAGATGAAAGATGGGGGGGGGGCCTTCCGGCAGGGGAGGTGCAAGGGAGGGGGGGGGGGTAGCTCAGCCCCCCCCCCTTTGGAAATGGAGAAAGGGGGGGTGGGTAATGTGGGGGGGTAGCTTCTGGAGCGCGAAAGGAGGGGGGGGGGTAGATTTCGAGGGGCGGGAAAAAAAGAGGGGGGGGGACTTCCAGCAGGTGATTTCCAAGGGGGTGGGGTAGCGAAGGGGGGGCCCCCTCCCACCCTTTGGGAGTGTACCACGGGCGCGCTCTCTCTGAGGGGAGGATCAAAAGGAGGAGGTGGAGGAGGAGGCGGAGGAGGAGGAGGAGGAGGAGCGAGACTGATGCGGAGCGGGAAGGAGGCGGAGAAGTGAGAAAGAGGAGGATGAGCGAGGAGGGGCAATGAGGAGCGAGGTGGAGCGACGATGCTGGTAATGATGATGATGATGATGATGATGATGATGATGATGATGATGATGATGATGATGATGATGATGATGATGATGATGATGATGATGATGATGATAATTATTATGTATGCTGGTGGTGGAGGTGGTGGTGGTGATGTCTGTGGTGATGATGATGCTGTTGGTGAGGATGATTGTGATAGTGGTGGTGGTGGTGACGGTGGTGGTGGTGGTGATTGTGGCAGTGATGATCGCGATGGTGAGGATGATTGGGTCGTTGATGAGGATGATGATGATAGTAGTTCTGGAGATGGTGGTGCTGGTGATGATGACAACGATGATCATTGTCATGATGCCGATGCTGATTAGCATGGTGATGATGCTGCTGTTGCTGATGCTGAGGACGAGGATTAGGATGATGATGATGATGATGCTGATGATGCTGATGATGATGATGAGTTTGTTGCTCATGCTGATGATAACGATTCTGATGATGAGGATGAGGATGAGGATGCTCATGATGCTGATGATGCTGATGATGATGACGATGACTGTGTTGATGATGATGAGTATCATGATGAGGATGCAGATGGGGAGGAGGAAGAGGAGGCGGAAGAGGATGATTATGATGATCAGGATGAGGATGAGGAGGAGGGGGAGGAGGATGAGGATGATGATGCTGATGATGATGAGGAGGAGGAGGAGGACGAGGAAGAGGAAGAGGATGCTGCTGATGATGATGAGGATGAGGATGATGATGATGATGATGATGATGATGATGATGATGACGGTGATGCCGCTGCTGATGATGACGATGATGGTTATGATGATGACAATGATGATGATGATGATGATGATGATGACGATGATGATGATGATGGTGACGATGATGATGATGATGATGATGATGATGTTGATGCTGATGTTGATGATGATAATGTCGATGCTGCTGATGATGATGATGCTGCTGACAATGTTGATGATGATGATGATGCCGATGATGATTAGGATGATGATGATGTCGATGCTGATGATGCTGATGATGCTGCTGATGATGATGTCGATGATGATGATGATGATGATGATGATGATGATGATGATGATGGTGCTGCGCTGCTGATGATGATGAAGCTGATGATGACGACGATGACGATGACGACGATGACGATGACGATGATGATGATGATGATGATGATGATGATGATGATGATGATGATGATGATGAATATGATGGTGATAGTGTTGGTGGTCGTGACGATGATGCTGATGACGATGCTGATGCTGATGCTGATGCTGATGCTGCTGCTGCTGATGATGATGAGGATGATGATGGTGGAGGTGGTGGTGATGCTGCTGCTGCTGCTGCTGATGCTGATGCTGATGCTGATGATGATGATGATGATGATGATGATGATGATGATGATGATGATGATGATGATGATGATGATGATGATGATGATGATGATGATGGTGGTGATGACGCTGATGTTGATGATGGTGACGGCGGTGGTGGAGAGGATGGTGGTTGTCGCCGGCCAGATACTGTCAAGGGAGGGAGGAGGAGTGGAAGGCGAGGGGAGGGGGAGGAGGAGGGGGACAGAGCCCCTCCGCGTTATGTCGCAGGGTGGCAAAGGCGAGATACCATGCACAGTGGCCACTCATTTCGCCTGCGGCCCTCCCCAGCCACTTTCAGGGCACCTCGAGGCGCTCCTTGCGCCCCCCGTCTGGGCGCAGCAGGAGTCCGAATGGGACCAGGGCCACCTTGCCCTTATCCTTGCTCTTGCCCTTGCCGCTCACGCCACCGTCCGCGCCGAAGGCGACCCCGCCCATGAGGCGTCTCGCGTGGGACAGCAAGTCCACGTGGCCTGCGCGCACCCCGCCCGCAACCTCGACGAAGCCACCCTTCGCCAGGTGGCCGTTGCCTGCGGGCCCGCGCGCCTGGATGGGGAGACGGCGGTCTGCGCAGGCGTCATATGGGAGACTCGCCTCCCGCGGAGCCGTCCACCACCTCGGCGTCGTTCCCGGCTGGGGCGCACGCCACCTCCAGAGCCGCATCGTGGCGGCAACCCCCGGCGCTGGCGTCGGCGCGGCGCCGCGGGCGCGCCGAGCCCCGACGCGCCGCCAGGGGCAGGAGCCGCACGCCTCGCGGCCTCGCATGCGACGCCACCGTCGGCGGCAGGCGGGCGAGGCCGAGCGTCGGCGGCCAGCGCCGCCACCGCCGCCTTCGCAGAGGCCCCGGGCCAGCGCCCCCGCGGGCCGCCGCCGACGCAGCGCGCAGATGCGTCGTCGCCGCCATCTGCGGCCCGCGGTGAGCCCACGCGGGCGCGGCCCCGCGGCTGCGGGCTGCGGCTGTGGCCGTGGCGCGCCGAATCCGTGGCAGTCCGATTCTGCGGCTCGGGATGCCGCCCTAGCGTTCCTTTCTCTATCAAAGCCTGCCGCAGCTTCGCATGCTGCTTATGGGGTCCGCCTGGCACGATTCGCAATCCTCTCCCCTCTTGTCTCCTTCCTCCCGCCTTCGCCTCCCGGAAGGGGAACGCTGGCCAGCCCTGCTGGGGCGGGCCGGCTTCCTGCCTCCTCTGCCTGTCTCCTCTTCGCTCCCCTCCGAACCGGAGTTCCAGATCTGGACGGCGGTGGGCTTGTAGCCAACGCAGGGTGCGCAGAGAGTTCGAGGCTCGGCCTGCTGTGGATGTCATTCCAAAGCGAGCGCCCCCGCTCGTGCCAGCGCAGTCCACAGTGCATCTGACTTAGCGTGGCCGTGTTGAACAAGTAGGACAACATGTGCCACACGCCAGCGTCCATCCATCGATGCCTGTTTGGGCGTGGCGGCCCAATTGCTATCGATGCTGTTTGGGCGTGCCAGCCCATCCGCTATCGATGCCTGCTTGGGCGTGCCGGCCCATCCGCTATCGATGCTGTGTTCCGCTGCTGGGGGCACCAGTGGCACCCTGGATAGACGCGCTAGCTTGCACCACAGTTGTCTTACGAACGCGGCCGAAACGAAACTCTGGTCTGGATCCAGGGCAAGTGCTCAACCTGAGGCAAGCCTGTGATGGTGCCGCTCTGCTCGGGAGGGGAAAAAACACAGACACAATCAATAGTCGATTTCCAGAAAATGTAGGAAAATATGGGAAGTGTGAGGGAAGACGAAAACCCAGAACATACAGGAAAATATGGGTTATCCTGGGACTTGTGTGTTTTTATTTTTGTGTCCTTGGGCCCCTTTGTCTGCCCTTGTATGCACTGGGCGCCGCTCCTGGGGGGCCGTGCAATGGCCAGGGCGGTTGCGAGACGGGCCAGCTGAAGAGCAGCAGACACTCCTCAGACGCTCTTGCCTTCAACCGAGGCCGCCTTCGGCCATCCCACCCCGGAGCGTTCCGCGGGTGCGAGCAGTCGTCCCCCTTCTCTTTGTCCTCCTTCCTCTCTCTATCTCTCTCTCTCTCTGCCTCTCTCCTTCTAGGTACTCGTTTTGACGCAGTAATTTCGCCTCATTTCAAACTCATTTTCCTGTCATGCTTTCCTACCTTTCGCTGCCGTTCGGCTTGACGTCGTAGTTGGGACCACCTCGCAGGGGTCGACCTTTACGGTTCAGGGTCGAAGATGATTCCACCGAAGGCGGTGGCTTAGCTTACTTCGGGATCGTAGCCCAATTCCTCGACCCTCTTGCCTCTCTCTGCTCATGCTGCTTCTCTCCTTCCGCCTTCTCCTCAGGCTGCCATTTGCGGGCCAGGGTCGATTGACTTTGAGACGCAGCCTAGTACTTGACACGCCGCATTGCTTGCATTGCGCTACGCGCATTCTCCTTGTCTGGACGTTGCGTGCGAGAACTTCTATGAAGGGCCGCTTGGACCGTAGGGAATGCACACCCGGCGCCCATGTCTCCCTTCCCCCCTTCCTTCCCTCGTGCGGCTTTCCCTCTCCTCGTCCTTCCTCTTCCCCCTCCGCCCGAGTCTGGGGCTATTGCAGGTTTCTGCCATCATCGCTGACCTGCTGGATGGATTCTTAACCTGCGTTACCGTCGGTCCGACATCATCATCATCATCATCATCATCATCATCATCATCATCATCATCATTATCATCATTATCATCATTCTCATCATCATCAGCAGCATCATCACCATCATCATCACCATCACCATCACCATCACCATCACCATCACCATCACCATCACCATCACCATCACCATCACCATCACCATCACCATCACCATCATCATAGTATCGTTACCCGCAGCAGCAGCAGCAGCAGTATCATCATCAACATCATCATCAGCAGCATTGGCATCAGTATCATCATTATCATCACCACCATCACCGTCGCCATCACTATCACCATCATCATCAGCAGCAGCGTCATCAACAATACTGTGATCACCGCAATCATGCTCATCCGTCACCCACCCTCCACCACCCATCAACCATCATCATTGGCATCACCACCATCACCACCACCGCCATCATCATCCTTACCATCATCATCACCATCATCATCATCATCTTCGTCGTCATCACCATCGTCATCGTCACCGTTATCATAATCATCAGCATCGGCATCGGGATCATTACCATCGTCATCAGCATCGTCGTCATCATCATCATCACCAGCACCACCATCACCACAACCACTATGATCACCGTCACCATTCGCATCGTCACAAATATGGGAAGTGAACGACGGGATGGTGGCACGGTCATGGTTATGTCGATGGTAGTGATTCCGATGGTGATGACGATGGCGACGATGGTTATGACGTCGTCGATGACGATGTCGATGACGACGACGATGATGATGATGATGGTGGTGGTGGTGATGATGATGCTGATGTTCATGGTGATGATCATGATGAGGATGCTGATGGTGATGATGATGATGCTGCTGGTGATGATGGTGATGATGATGATGCTGTCGATCATAATGGTGACGGCGGTGCTGATGATGACGATGATGCTTATGATGAGGATGATGCTGATGATGATGATGATGATGCTGGCGTCGATAATGTTGATGACGATACCGACGCTGCTGCTGATGACTATGCACATGGTGGTGGTGGTGGTGATGATGATGATGATGGAGATGATGATGGCGATGATGATACTATTGATGCTTATGGTGCTGTTGCTGATGAGGGCACTGATTGTGACGATGATGATGCTGATAATGATGATGATGCTGAAGCTGAAGCTGATGGTGATGATGATGACTATTATTATTATTGTTATTATTATTATTATAATTATTATTATGATTATTATTGTGATTATTCGCATTAGTAGTATTATTATTGTTATCTTCATGTCTTTTTCATTCGTATTATTATTCGCATCATCCATATATGGTGATTATGGTGACTACGAGTGTTCTGATGGTGATGATGGCGGTGCTTGTAATAAGGTTTCTGATGATTCTGCTGATGATGACGCTGATGAGGCGGCTGCCGATGATAGCTATGATGATGGTGATGTTGTGGTCAGCAATGACGAGGTTATTGTTGATGAAGCTGTTGTTGGCAATGGCGATGATGTTGCTGATGATTGAGGTGGCGACGATGATTATCCTGATGATGCTGTTGATGATGATGCGAATGCTGATGATGCTGATGATGATGATGATGGTGGTGACAATGATGATGATCATGATGATCACGATGCTGATGACGATGATGATGAATGTGATGATTATGATGACGATGATGGCTGCTGCTGCTGTTGACGATGCTGATGATACTGTCGATGCTGACGATGATGATGATGATGATGATGATGATGATGATGATGATGATGATGATGGCTGCTGCTTCTTATGATGGTGATGATGCTCATGCTTATTGTTAGTATTTCTCATTATTCGGGTTAATATCCGTACCGTTCATGTACGGTGATTACGATGACTACGAGTGTTCTTATGGTGATAAGGGCGGTGCTGGTAATAAGGTTTCTGATGATTCCGATGATGATGACGCTGATGATGCGGCTGCCGATGATATATATGATGATGGTGATGTTGTGGTCAGCAATGACGAGGATATTGTTGATGAAGCTGTTGCTGACAATGACGATGAATGATTATGCTGAGGATGCTGATGCTGATGTGAATGATGACGATGGTGATGATGACTGCTGCTGATGTCGCTGATGATGATGATGACGATGCTGATGATGATGATGATGCTGAAGGTGATGATGATGACATGATGGCTGCTGATAACGATGATGATGACTGCTGATGATGCCGACGATGACGATGATGATGATGATGATGATGATGATGACTGCTGCTGATGATGATGCTTCTGATGATGATTCCGATTATGATGATGCGGAATATGTCGATGATGATGATGTTGATGATGTTGGTTGTGATGGGCACTGCTGATGATGGGATGCTGTTGATGATGATGCTGCAGATGCTGATGTTGATGATGATGCTGCTGCTGATGATGATGATGATGATGCTGATGATGATGATGATGATGATGATGCCGATGATGACAACGACGGTGCTGATGATGATGATGCTGACGATGATGATGCTGCTAATGATGATGCTGATGGTGATGATGATGATGATGCTGAGGATAATGCTGATGGCGTTGATGATGGTTATTCCGATGGTGATGCTGCTGATGATGATGGTGATGCCGAGGATGATGATGATGATGATGATGATGATGATGATGATGATGATGATGATGATGATGATGATGCTGATGATGATGATGATGCTGATGATGATGATGATGCTGCTGCTGATGATGATGATGATGATGATGCTGATGATGATGCTGATGATGATGATGTTGATGATGATGATGATGATGATGATGATGATGATGATGATGATGATGATGATGATGATGATGATGCTGATGATGATGATGATGATGATGATGATGATGATGATGATGATGATGATGATGATGATGATGATGATGATGCTGATGCTGATGATGATGACGATGATGCTGATGATGGTGATTGTGGTTATACTGTGTATGCTGACGATGCTGCTGATGCTGCTGGTGATGGGGATGGGGGTGAGGAGGAGGAACAGGGGGAGGGGAGGGGGAGGAGGAGAAGGAGGAGGAGGAGGAGGAGGAGGAGGAGGAGGAGGAGGTCCGTAGCCATTTTGGCTCAAGTCGTCGCCGTTTGGGAACTTGGTACCCCCCACCTCAAGACGCCCCGCCAGGAGGGGCCCGAAGAGGTCGTGCAGGTGCCTGCCC